TTTTTTTTTTAAATCATAAATGGGTTTTGGATTTTGCCAAATGTTTTCTTGGCAACTGTTGAAATGATCATGTAATTTTTGTTCTTTAGTCTATTAATTTAATGGAATACATTAATTGATTTTCAAATGTTAAATCAGCTTTGCATACCTGAAGTAAATCCCATTTGATTATGGTGTATAATTCTTTTTGTACATTGTTTGCTAATATTTTGTTGAGGATTTTTCAGTACATAAGAAATATTGGCCTGTGATTTTTTAACTTTTTGCTTCTGTCTTTATCTGGTTTTGATATTAGGGCAGACCTTGTCTCATAGAATGATTTTGAAGTGTTCCCTCTGTTTCCATTTTTTGGATGAGATTATGGAGAATTGGAATCATTTTTTCCCCCTTAATTGTTTGGTAATTTATAGATGAAACCATCTGGACTTTGTGTGTTCTGTTTTGGAAAGTTATTAATTATTGATTCAGTTTTTTAACAGGACTGTGCAGCTTACCTATTTCTCTTTATGTAGGGTGTATATTTCAAGGAATTGGTCCATTTCATCTAAATTACCAAATTTTGGGGTGAAGAGTTGTTCATAGTATTCCTTTATGATCCTTTTAATGTCTGTGAGATCAGCAATAATAGGTAATAGCTCTAGTTTGTTTCTGGCATAAATAATTTGTCTCTGCTCTTGGTTACTCTTGCTACAGGTTTATCAAATTTTACTGCTTTTTTAACAGAAACATCTTTTAACTTTTATTGATTCTTCTCTATTTTTTTCAATTTCATTGTTTTTTGCTCTAATTTTTATGTCTTCTTTTGCTTGCTTTATTTTATGTTGTCTTCTTTCTGTAGTGTTCTGTAGTAGAAGTTTGCATTATTGATTTTATAATTTTCTTCTTTTTTTAAATCTTATTTTTGTAGTGTTCCCTCCCCTCCACTCCTACCCCTGTTAACCAACAAAGAAAGTTTCCTTCCATATATAAACCCTTCCTTGAGTTTTGCAATAGTGGACTAATGCAATATATGTCCTGTGATTGACTTATTTCACTCAGCATAATGTCCTCCAAGTTCATCTATGTTATGCGATATTTTATAGATTCTACATCATTCTTTAGTGTTGTATAGTATTCCATTGTGTGTATGTACCATACTTCGGTTATCCATTCTTCTGTTGATGGGCATGTAGTTGTTTCTATCTTTTTGCTGTTGTAAATAGTGCTGAGATGAACATGGGTGTGCATATATCTGTTCTTGTCCGGGATCTCACTTCTTTAGGATGTATACCTAGTAATGGGATTGCTGAATCAAATGGTATTTCTAATTCCAATTTTTTAAGGAATCGCCATACTGCTTTCCACAGTGATTATATCATTTTACAGTCCCCACAGCAGTATATGAGAGTCCCAATCTCTCCACATCCTTGATTTTGTTATTTTCCGTCTTGTTGAACTTTGCTGTTAGTTCTGGAGCTAGATGTTATCTCATTGTTTTGATTTGCATCCCTGTAATGGCTAATGATCGTGAACATTTCTTCATGTGTTTGTTGGCCACCTGAATATCTTCTTTGTTCTTTTTGGTGAAGTGTCTATTCATGTTTTCTGCCCATTTTTAAATTGGATTGTTTGTCTTTTGTTGTTTAGGTGTTGGAGTTTTCAATAGATTTTAGTGATAAGCCCTTTGTCAAATAGGTTGTTGCTGAATATTTTTTTCCCAATCTATAGGGTCTTTTTTTATGCTTTCGGAGAAATCTTTGGAAGCACATAAAAATTTCATTTTTAGAAAATCTCATTCATCTAGTTTATCTTCTGGTGTTTGTGCATTTTAGGTTATGCTTGATAGTCTATTTATGCCATATATTATTCACTGCCATTGAGTTGTATCCAACTCATAGCAACCCCTCCTTGGGTTTCCGAAGTGGTATCACTATGGAGGTAGATTGCCCAACCTTCCTTCTGAGGAGTGGCTGGTGGGTTTGAACTGCCAGCCTTCTGGTTTACAGTCAAATGCCTTAGGCGCTATGCCACCAAAGCTCCCATGCCTTATATTAGGGCCCCCAAATTTGCCCCTATTTTTTCTTGAGGAATTTCATAGTTTTAGGTTTCACATTAAGTCTTTGATTTATCTGGAGTTAGTTTTTGTGTATGGTGTCTGGTATGGATCTTGTTTCATTTTTCTGCAAATGGATAGCCAATTTTGCCAGCAGCATTTGTTAAAGAGACCATCTCTTCCCCGTTTAATGGATTTCAGCCCATTGTCAAAAATCAGCTGACCATAGGTCGATGGATCTGTTTATCGGTTCTCAGTTCTGTTCCACTGGTCTAAGTGTCTGTTGTACCAATGCCAGGCTGTTTTGACTACTGTGACTATGTATTAGGTTTTGAGATACGGGAGTGTGAGACCTCCTACTTTGTTCTTCATCTTCAGTAGTGCTTTGCTTACCTAAGGTCTCTTTCCTTTCCATATAAAATTAGTTACTGGTTTTCCCAGAATTTTCTTCTTTCTTAATTTAAAATTTAATGCTATAAATTTCTCTCTAAGCACTATTTTGCTGCATCCCACAAATTTTGCTAACTTATATTTTTATTTTCTTTTAGTTAAGTGTTTTTTAATTTCTCTTGAGATTTCTTCTTTGATTCATATGTTATTTAGAATCTGTTGTTTAGTCTCCAAGTATTTTGAGATTTCCTAGCAATAGTTCTGTTACTGATTTCTAGTTTAATTCCATTATGGTATGAAACATACTTTGTGTGATTTCTATTTCCTTAAATTGTTAAAGTATGTTTTATGGCTTAGGATGCCATATCTATCTTGGTTGAATGTTTCATAGGAACACTGAGAAGAATATGTATTCTACTGCTGTTGGATGAAGTATTCATAAACATCAATTAGCTCTATTTGGTTGATGGTGTTACTAAGTTCAGTTATAGTTTTACTGATTATATGCATGCAGGATGTATCAGTTACTAGAAAGATATTGAAATCTCCAATGATAATAGTGGATTTGTCTGTTTTTCCTTGCGATTGTCAGTTTTTTGCTTGAGCTCTGTTAAATGTGGTTAACACATATGGCTGCTAAACCAAATGGTCACTGGTTTGAAAACACCAGCTGCTCCATGGGAGAAAAATGAAGGAATATCCTTCTGTAAAGATTTACAGCCTTGGAAAGTTTGGGGCAGTTCTACTCTGTCCTGTAGGGTCACTATGAGTTGGAATTGACTCGTTGGCAGTGTGTTTCATTTTTGGTTTGGTTGTTAGACATATATGCATTAAGGTGAATTGACCCCTTTAACATTATATAGTACTTCTTCTTATCTTGGTAATTTTATTTTGTTCTGAAGTATGCTTTGTCTCCTTGTCTGAAACCAACATACTTATTCCAGCTTTCTTTTGTTTGGTTTTATCATGGTATATCTTTATCTATCCCTTTACTTTTAATCCATCTGTATGATTAAAGTTGATTTCTTATGACCAGCGTATAATTGGGTTTTGTTTTTTTATCCACTCACAGTCTCTCTTTTAATTACTGCATTTAGATCTGTGGTTCAGTGAATTACTTGGTATGGATTTTCTAGTCATAGTTTTTGTAACTTCCACCCGATTACTAGGTGGAACCATGTAAATAAGGTGTGTAGAACTCTGATGTTGGGATTGGTTAGTTTTGTCACTCTGCCAGGCTTAAAGTGAGCTTTCCCAGAGGTAAAAAAGGAGATCTCACTGCCATCAAGAGAGAAGAGCTGGAGGTGAGGTGGAGTGTGTCCTTGGACCCAAGATTCCGGCACTGGACCTCCTTGGCATAGACACCCAGCTGAGAGAGACACCCAGCAGAGAGAGATAGATCCCTGGCAGAGAGGCAGTGGTAGTGGAACCAAGAGGCATGAGACGGAGCTATGGGCTTTTACCTGGCCCACAGTGAGAAAGCTGAGTGCCCTTGGGCAGGAGTCTTGTTGGAGGAGTGGGGCATTGTATTGTTGATTGTGCTAAGGGGCACTGTTTGTTTTATTGCCCCATCTATTTCTTGGCTGAAAGGTGGCCTCTGGGATTGTCTTCAGTTTCAAGTTAGAAGGTTGTCTCAAAGCAGTAATCTCAGGGGTTACTCTAGTTCTTTCTAAGCAGTAAGTCTTTCTCTTTTTTTTCCCCCCCTGATTTTGAATTGTGTTCTACATCTTTTACCAATTCTGACTGGGACTTTATGCTGTGGTCTTGGTCAGAATGGTAAGTAGTGGTAGCTGGACACCACCATCTAGTTCTTCTAGTCTTAGTGTACAGGAGTCTGTGGTTCACATGGGCCATTAGTTCTTTGGACTAATTGCTTCCTTGAGTGCTTGTTTTTCTTCATTCTTCTTTGCTCTAGGTGGGAAGAGACCCAGTAGTTGTTTCTTAGATGGCTGCTCACAAGCTTTTTAGACCTCAGATGCTACTCGCTGGACTAGGATGTAGAACATTATCTTTATGGAATTGTGTTTTGTCAGCTGACCTAGATGTTCCTAAGACTAGATCCTTGGCCTTCATGTCTAGTTGTTCAGTCCTGATAGCTAAGGTCACATTTTTTAAATTGTCCCAGTTTTTTGATATTCTATTATTTTATTTCATTTATTCTTTCTTTGCATTTCAGTTTGGGAAGTTTTTGTTGGCATATCTTCATGCTCATTGATTCTGAATTGTTTTTTAAATTTAATTTTCTGATGTATAGAAATGCAATTGATTTTTGTATATTGATCTTTTATCCTCCTACCTTGATGAACTGATATTGTTGACTCTTCGTATATATTAACATTATGCTACAACTGCAGTGGAGAAAACAAAGTGAAAATCTTGGTGGTCATACATATCATCTTAGACTGTTAAAGAATGGAGATGTGCTAATAACACATGGGTTTTATTTTCTGTTATGTATATTATTTACAATTATTTTTCCTTAATATTACATTTAAGAATAAATCATACTTAACTTTTTAAAATGAAAAATATTTTAATTTTAATATTTTAAAATAAGTTTTTAAATAATCTGTTTTAGGTGCTGTGTCCCTCAAGAATCTTAAAATTAAAGAAAATGCCCTGGTGAGTTTGATCATGAAAAATTTGTAAATGTTACAACATTTTATTTATACTAACTTCTTCCTGATTTATGTTGTCACCTCAAATCATTGAAGTTTGAGAAATTTTTTTGAAAATAATTTTTGCAGAATGTGAATTTTGAAAAGCAGAGTTGTAATTGCCCTAAAAAGCATCAACTGACATAGAATTTTCCCGTTTTCTTTTTCTTTTGGTTATAATTTAAAAGTGGTACTGTTTCTGGTATGGGTTACTTATATTCTTAGTATTACTGTAGAATTATTCTCTCATTTATTATAAGAATGGGCTTCCCTGAATTTGAAAATAGTGTTGGAAACATATATGAAGAAGTATTGATGGTAAAGAGAATGTCTGTTTATTTAAGAATCTTTCAAGTTATTTTATAAAAAAATACTGTGATTGCACTGTGATTATACTAATATTATGTATATATATATACGTGTACATATATATATAAACATGTATTCATATATGTACCTTTTTTTTTTTTTGTAGTATCAACTGGATGTACCATTTAAAGTAAAAGCTGGTCACATAGGTAAGCCGTATTTGTTAGTTTATTGTCATCCTTTCTGGACATGAGACCAGAATAATATGCTTAATATCTTTGTAGGATGATTTCAGTCTTTCTGAGCATGAAAGGAATTTTCCTGTGTTGTCATCTAGGTAAAGGTTATTATTGCAGTTTAAATATATTGTGGGGTCCATTTATCCCTTGACCTATAGTTAATACCTAATAAATTGCACATCTCATTATGTGTTAGAATTGAGCTTTTTGAGGTATTCATTTGTTTATGTATTCATTTGGAGAGACTCTGTAGGCTCCAAAGCTGGGTGGGCTGTATGCAGTCTTTACAAAAGCCACTTAGCAGTGGTGCTGGGTGGGTTCAAACAGGCCACCTTTGGATTACTAGCTGAGTACAGAACATCTGTGCCACCCACAGACATTTTAAAGTTGAGTTTTTAAAATATTGTTGAGAGCCAAGGTATTGTATCCAATATAGAGTTCAACTATCTCCGTTTCTCAAATTGGTGACTAGTTATTATTGCCCTATTCTGATTGGTCATGGATAGTGGAACAAACACTGGACTAAATACCTAATACACAAGGTGATTTTGAGAATTAGATATCTATAATACATATCTCCGTCACAGCATCCATAATTTTAATGTCATCATTTATTTATTTATTTTCTTCTACTAGACAGTAAGTTCCATGAGAACAAATGGGTTTCATTATTGTATCCTCACCACTTACCACATTATCCAGCATAGGGTCAGGGACTCAGTTTGTTAAGTGATAGGACCATGCATTTCCAAACCAGTTTTATAGGAGTGCATTGTCCTGTTGCCATGATTGTGTATTGTTAGTCTTACTGATCTTTCAAAGTTTCCTCATTTATGAATCCGAATTACATATATCGAGTATAAATACATACAAACACATTTTAAAATTGTCTTTGTGTGCAAGGTTTTTGGTATTACCTTTTTATATTTTTCTGTATTCTGCAAATTTTCTATAAAGACTCTTACATTTTGTATGAAAGAAAGAAATAGTTTTATTTTAAAAAAAATTTTACCATTTGCAGTGTAGTGAATTACACAATATGGCTTTTCTAGCCATGGTCTTTATAAATCCATGGTGGAATTTGCTGTGAGCATCTGAGTAGTGTAAGGCCACAGTAAGGAGAAGAGGACGCACAAAAGTGAGGTTAAAGATAAGTTTTTATTCTGAGTTTCCGGGGGAGGTTTACGGGTCCCCGAGAGGGGCCCGGGAAGTCACACCGCTTGGCTGGGGAGGGTAGGGTTTATAGTCTTGTGGAGGTCCTAAGTGGGGACACTAAGGAAATGTTGTTGTTGTTGTTGTTATGTGCCGTCGAGTCGGCCCCGACTCATAGCGACCCCTCCTTGGGTTTTTGAGGCAGTATCACTACGGAAGTAGGATTGCCCAACCTTCCTTCCGAGGAGTGGCTGGTGGGTTTGAACCGCCAGCCGTCTGGTTAGCAGGCAAGTGACTTAGCCACTATGCTACTAAGGAAATGGTGGGGTCCAATTAGCTGTTAGCATGGGTCTGCACTTAATTAGCATGAGGGGGCTTCACAAGAGGAAGCTTGCCACTGCATGGGACTTTCCAGTCTGGGCGGGATCTGTCACTTTGATTGTCTTATCAGGCTGTCTCATCAAGGCTTGACACCCGGAGGAAGCTGCTAAGTGAAATGGTGGTGGCTTGGGTTTGCTTCGGCCTAACAAGTAGCTCCTGATTGTTAAAGTTATCCACCTGGTATATTTCTGTTGGAGCAGCAGGAAGCAATCTTCTGGGAAGTTCGCTCTCTCTCAGGTGTATAGAATTCTGATGTTGGGATTGGTTGGTTTTGGCCACTCTGCCAGGCTGAAAAGGAGCTCTCCTAGAGGCAGAAGGAGTCTCTCTGTCTGCAGGCTGAGAAAGACGCGCTGCTGAGAGAAACATACTGCTGAGAGATGTGAGAGAAACATGCTGCTGAGAGAGACACATGAGAGACACACATTGCTGACAAGAGGGACTTGCTACTGAGAGGGACTGAGAGGGACTGAGAGAGACTGAGAGAGACTGTTGGCTGAGAGATGGCCAGTTGAGAGAGACTGAGCATGCTCTTGAACTTGAACTGTAGCCTGCTGCTTCCCTCATAAACTGCATAATCTGTGAGTTCTGTGTGGCCACTGTAGTGAGTTATTGAACCCAGCAGAGAGGCGGTGAGTGCTGCAAGAGGAACGGTTGGTTAGTGAGAGGGCAAGGTTAGTGGCAACATGCCTGGCCTCATAGGAGCAGGCATTGGGCTGCTGATGGTGTTTTTGTCCTTCTCTTGTGTAGTTAGAGGAGGTCAGAAGATGTCGCCTCCTTGCCCCTTTTGCAGCATTGAAAATGGTACAATATTTATTTGCATTTCTTTGACTACTCTAACTATCTTGCAGCTGTTTTATTTATGGGGTTTGTGTGTGTGTATGTGTCTATATGGGTGTGTGTGTCAGATAGTCTCCTTGTTGTGTGCTGTCAACTCAGACCTGACTCATAGAGACCCCTCCTTGGGTTTCCGAGGCAGTATCATACTGTAGTAGATTGCTCAACCTTCCTTCCAAGGAGTGGCTGGTGGGTTTGAACTGCCAGCCTTCTGGTTAGCAGTCAAGTGCCTTAGCTGTGTGTGTGTCAGATAGTCTTCTTGATACATTTATAAATAAACTGTGTTAAATTTTTCACAGTTATTTCTTTCCTATCTGCTTATTGCATTTTGGTTATATTTTTGAACTGTCCAGAAATTTGAAATGGCAACCATCTTGGATTTTATAATTTAGAGAATATCTTAGTTTTTTAGTGCTGCTGGTGTAACAGAAATACCACAAGTAGATGACTTTAAAGAACAGAAATTTCCTTTTTTACAATTCTGGAGGGTAGAAGTCCAAACTGGGTCTTGGCTGTGTAGATACCTTCCTTGTCAGCTTCCCTGGGCATTCCTTGGTGCCTTGGTGATCCTCAGTTTGTGCTTACTTCTGTGTGTACTTTGCTCTTCTTATTAAAGCATTGGGCAGCTAACCAAAAGTTTGGCTATTCAAACCCTCCAGTGGCTCTGTGGGAGAAAGATTCTGACTCATAGTGGCCCCCTTTGGTTTTCCTAGGTGGTAAATCTTTACAGAAGTAGATTGCCCAGTCTTGCGCGGAGTGGCTGTTGGATTTGAACTGCCAGCCTTCTAGTTAGCAGTCCAATGCCTTAGACACTGTGCCACCAGAGCTCCTTTCAGTAAAGATTTACAGCCTTGGAAACTATATGGTGTAGAGCTGCTATGAATTGAAATTGACTCAATGGCAGGGGGTTTCTTTATAACTCAGAAGTGATTAAGTTTGGAACACATCTGACACTATTTTGCTGGTGATAGTGAGTGGCACAGTTCAGTCCTTAACAGGAAGTTATCCCTTTTGTAGAAATCAGAATAGTTTGTTTTTCTGTGGATGGGCATTGTATATTGTAATCCCTTTTACAATTTGGGGTTATATAACCATGGGGTTTTGAGGTATGTTATGACATAGATTGACATTGATTTTTTTTCCCTTTCCAATATACTAACCTGTTGCTGTAGCATAGTATATTTAATAATCTTTCCCTTCCCCAATCATGGCAACTATTTCTAAATGTAGGGACTTGTGTTGTGGTTTTGTACTGTCCAGTAGATTCTGACTCATGACAATCCCATGTGTTACAGAGTAGAACTACTCCTTAGCATTTTCTTGTTTGTAATCTTTATGGAAGCAGATTGCCAGGCCTTCCTTTCGTAGTGCCACTGCTTGGGTTCGAACCATCAACTTTTCACTTACTAGCCGCATGCAAAGCATTGTGCTACCCAGGTACCTTAACTTTTAAAAAACTAAAAAAAGGAAAAAAAAGTTTTAAAGCATTTTGTTATGATGGTTTTCAAATTCACAGAACTGAAGTGAATGGTATAATGAACACTATCAAACCAAAAAAAATCTTGTTGCTGTGATAGCAATAAAGTAGAACTGCCCCATAGGGTTTCCGATGTTGTAAATCTTTACAGAAGCGGACTATCTCATCTTTTTCCTGCGGGGTGGCTTGTGGGTTCAAACCACCAACCTGTTGGTGGTTGCTGTTGTTGTTGTGTGCCGTCAAGTTGGATCCGACTCATAGTGACCCCCCCTTGGGTTTCCGAGGCAGTATCACTATGGAAGTAGATCGCCCCATCTTCCTTCCGAGGAGTGGCTGGTGGGTTTGAACTACTAGCCTTCTGGTTAGCTGTCAAGTGCCTTAGGCACTGTGCTACCAGAGCTCCCAACCTGTTGGTTAGCAGCCAAGTATTTAACCACTGTGTCATCAGGGCTCCTTCAGGCAACCCTTTAAATAGTATTTCTAATTAAAAAAGTTGAATGATTTTTAAAAAACTTTGCTATTAGAGTGTAATGACATATTTTCATTAAGTTTGAATAATTTCCTAAGGTTGCCTGTGATTCTTGATTCTTACTATTTGTGTTTATAGGTATACATATGTACACATATATACACACATATGTTGTTGTTGTTATTTGCTGTCAAGTCGGCCCCAACTCATAGCGACCCCTCCTTGGGTTTCCGAGGCAGTATCACTACGGAAGTAGGATTGCCCAACCTTAAAACCAAGTACACACACATGTAAAATACATAGTGGGCACACACATATAAAATATATACATTGCAAGACACATGCTTCTTATGGAGGTTTACAGTAAGAATTGGGGAAGTTCAGAGTTATAATATAAAGGAATATTATTATATTTGTGGTAAGTTTAGCCATAAAGAGAACCTGGTTAGTATTTAGAATATGATTTACTAAATTTCCAACGTACTGATAATGAATAATTTCACACCATCATGACAAAGGCATGTTGTTTTGTTTGTAAGATGGTTTCTATAACATGACTGAGCTCATAAGGACAAAGACACAGGCAGAAAATATAGTGACAGTAAATGTAGATTGAATGAATAATATTTTTTGTTATTGTTATTATTTTTATTTAAATACAGGTCATCTTAGTCTTGTAATTCCATGGAAAAACCTTTATACTCAACCAGTTGAAGCTGTATTGGAAGAAATTTATTTACTCATAGTGCCTTCTGCTAGTAAGTCAAATTTTAAACATTGTAATTTCAGATATTCTTTTTTGTGAATGGCCAACATCTTTGTATTTGATAATTGCATTTGTTCAAAATATTCATGGGAAATTTTTTGACATAATTTGGTATTTTCATTAGGTATTTGGGAATTCAAATAAAATTGGTTGCTAAATTATTTTTGGACTTTGAATTAGTGATTATTTTTAAGGAATGAATGTTTTTTGAAATGAATAAATTTAAAGTAGTTAAGATTCTTTTTTTTTGTTTTCTGTAGTAATAAAATATGATCCTATAAAAGAAGAAAAACAAATTTTGGAAGCAAAACAACAGGAACTAAAAAGAATAGAAGAAGCAAAACAAAAAGTAGCTGATCAAGGTAAAGAAAGCAACAAATACCAATAAACAATAATAACTAAATGAACTTATAGAGCAAATGATTTTACTGGGCAGTGGTGAGATTCAAAGATGAAAATATGTTCTACTTTTTTCAAAGAGCTTTTATTATGTTCTGTTCACTCTTTGCTTTACTTTATACTTATTAATTGTATATATTCAATTACGTTCACCTAAGTCTCGTTTATTCACAGTTGTGTTTTAAGTACATATGATTAGTATGTTCATTAATTTTCTCTTACCCAAGGCCAGGTGAATTAAAAAGTGGTATAGGGAGCTCTGGTAGCATAGTGGCTAAGACACTTGCCTGCTAACCAGATGGCTGGCGGTTCAAACCCACCAGCCCTCCTCGGAAGGAAGGTTGGGCCATCCTATTTCCGTAGTGATACTGCCTCGGAACCCAAGGAGGGGTCGCTCGACGGCACATAACAACAACAACAAAGAATGGAGATAACTTTCATTGACATTTTTAAGGGGAAAGGATAGTAATGAGGGATTATCAAAGGAATATTTTAAAAGAAAATGAGGAACTTTAATTTTTTTATTTTTTATATTCCCCTGTAAAGTCTTGAAGCTGTAGATAGTTAATGTTGTTTTCAGAAAATTACACAGAGGTGATGAACTTCCTTCATCCTTGCTTGCAAAGGGAGAAGGGAGAGGATCTTACAACTTTTAATTGTATATCCACCAGGGGGGGAGGGCATATTCATTTATTTTATACATTGAACCACAGACAGCTCATGATGTGATCAGCAATTTTAAAGGTAGATTCTTCTTTGTAATGGCTTTTCTAATTTGAACATATTATTATCTTCATTATCATCTGTACCTTTATGTGCTCAAGCATAGTTAACAGAAGGAGAAAAATTGTAATTTGTAATGCCAATAAATTCTACATGATTAGTTTTAGTCTCCTTGAAGAAGAAATTTAAAACAAACGTGCATTTAGTCACGTTGGAAAGTCTTTGGTATGGAAGACTTTGGAAAGTGAACTATTAGTGTTCTATCCAGAAATACAATTTTTTTTAACAAACCAAAATATGTATATTTTACTCCATATATGAATATTTATAAAGTATATTTTTCATTCAAGTTAAAATAAGGAATGTTTGCAATTGTAGAACAACCTAAGGAGGAGAAACAGGACACTTTTGTAGAAAAATTAGTTACTCAGATCATAAAAAATCTTCAAGTGAAAATTTCCAGCATCCATATTCGCTATGAGGATGATGTAAGTATTTTAATAGGTGATATTTGTTTTTATATTTTACATAGGTTATTTTACTGTTTATTGACACATAATCTGTAGTGGCCAACCTATTAGATGCTGGAAGGTGGAGGAATATAGAGTTAAGGGTGACATGATCTTTTAAAGTTATCGTTGTAATGTGCAGAATGCTTGGTTACATTTTACTAAAATGTGCAAACATCAGGTAATTAAAGAAAATGCCTTTCTTATAATCATCTTTGATTGGTAAGAGTTTTTAGTTACCAATTATATATTTAAAAAATGATTTAAAATATACTTTACTTTCTGGAAAAGGCAGTCATGTATTAATCAGCAGAGCTAGACTTAACTATAATAGTTTAATGTTGAGTAGATCATTTGTTCTCTCTAAAACACATATTTGCTTTCTGCTAGTATTGTGAGGGTTGAGCATTTCTTAATTTACATTACTTTTATAAATGGAAAAGCTATGCTCATATTTTGCAACACTAAAACATTGATAATAGAGTAAAATTTACTTTTTTTCCTCTTTAGATCACAAATCGAGACAACCCACTATCATTTGGTATTTCCCTTCAAAATTTCAGCTTGCAGGTACTTTGTTTAACAACAGAAATTCAACCATATTTAATTGTATAACATAGTTACAGTATACTGTATATTCTGTATAATATATGTAATATATGAGGAGTTCTCGTGGTGCAATGCTTAAAAGCATTCAGCTGCTCAACAGCAACAACAACAACAACAACAACAACCCCATGAGCCATTCTTGGGAGAAAGGTGAGGCAGTCTGCTACTGTAAAGATTTACAGCCTTAGAAACTTTGTGGGGGTTGTTGCTATGAGTCCATATTGACTTGATGGCAGTAGGTGAGTTGGTTAAGTCGTTAAAAGCAAAAAGAAATAAATCACCCACTTTCTCACTACTAGTATTAATATGTATGCATCTTGTCTGCTTTTTGAAAGTGAAGAATTTAAAAAGTATAGAAGCACACAGAGAATTATGAAGCAGGTACTCACATCCAGAACAGACTGTGTTGAATTTGTCATTTTAAGTTTTAAATACTTTTATAGGAATAAAATATTAGACATAAAGTTGAAATCCCTTTTGTTCTCTCTCCCATTTTTTTCCTCCCACCATGAAGATAAACATCCTAAGTTTTTAAACTTTTATATAATACGTTGTTTGTAAATTTTGAAAAATTTACATAAGAGGTTTATTTGGTTCTTCAGTAAGGTTACCTTTTTCACTTCAGAGTTTTATTTGTGTTGCCACATGGTATATAATTCATTCACTTTAACTGCCGTGTAATATTTCATTCCATACTTTTATGTGTTATATATATGTTAGGCTTATGTGTAAGATTTCCTTTTAAAACATGACTCCATTGCAAGCTGAAAAATAAATAAAAAGCCAGAGTTAAACCCAAGAATTAGAGAACAAACTGGACCACAGGATTAATTAACTCCATGAACTCATGCCTCTTCCACCTTGAGACCAGAAGAAATAGATGGTGCCTGGCTACAACTACTGAATGTTCTGATCAGAGATACAGTAGATGAATCCTGATAAAAAAGGAAGAAAAATATAGAAGAGAACTTCAATTCTTAAAGAATTCAGGCTTACTATAACTATTGAAGTTGGAAGAGTACCCAAGACTATGACCCTGAGTTGCTTTTCAGACCTTGAATTGAAACTACTACCCCTCGAAGTCACCTTTAAACTAAGTAACAGTTTAGACCAACCAGTAAAGATTGTCAGTATTGTATTGTTTTTTTTGAATATTCATACAGGACCAAAAGGCAACATTATTTTAAAGCATAGGTGAGAATGTTGGGGCAGGGAGTTTAAATAAATGGAAGTGAAACAAGTAGAACAGAACTAATGACAATGTTGACACAATATGAAGAATGTAGCCAATGTCACTGATTATTACATCTGAAAACTGTGGAATGGAAGCAGGTTTTGCTTTGTATATTTTCACCAAAAATCAATTAAATATTCACCACCACCACCACCACAACAAAAAGCCAAATGTTACAAGTTACTCAGTAAAGGTGGGAGGATAAACTGTGCCAAGTGCTGCTGTTTGGTTAAAAAATAAGGACAGAGAATTAGCTATTGGTTTTGGCGATGTGAAGGCAGTGGTTTTGACCTTCCTCTTTTGGTGTCATTAGAAACTTAATTCCTCAGCCTAGACCTAGTCACTTAGAAGCTCTGGGAGTGGGGCCAATAATCTGTGTTTTAAATAGCCCTTCAGGTGATCTTGATGCAAGCTAAGGTTTGAGAATCCATCCAGTCCTCTATGTTACAGTAAAAGCCATTTTTCTAAGATAAGGATTTGTGAGAGGAAAAACTTGGAACAAAATCCAAAAACTTAATAATGACCAGAATTACTGGTCAGATAGAGTTTGGTGAGACCCCCAATACTGTGGCCCTGGTATATATTCTGGGCCTTGGGGGAAAATAATAATTAAAAAATAAAATAAAATAGAATTTGATCACTTTATCTCCTCAGTGACTTTTTACTGCTCATAGAATAAAGTCCATAGTTTTGCTTTAAAATAGCTTATACGTCATATGTAATTTATCTGGTTTCCTCTCTTGACTATCTGTTTTGCATTATATTCTCTTGACATATTTTGCAACTTCTGTTCCCTGATCATGCCATGATTCTTGCACTTTTGGAGCTTTACATTGGCTTTTTCCTGCTTTTAATCATATTTCTACTGACTTTAGAATGAATAAGGAGCTCTGGTGGCACAGTGCCTAAGGCATTTGACAGCTAACCAAAAGTTTCGTGGTTCACACCCACCAGCTACTCCATGGAAAGAAGACTGGGCAATCTACTTCGGTAAAGATTTACTGCCTTGGAAACCCAAAAGAGGGTTGCTATGAGTCAGAATTGACTCAATGGCAGGCAGTATTTTTTTTTTTTTTTAATAGCGACCCTATGAGACAGAGTAGAACTGCCCCATAGGATTTTTAAGGCTGTAATATTTATAGAAGCAGACTGCCATATCTTTTATAGAGCAGCTAGTGGAGTCAAACCATCAACCTTTTGGTTAGCAGCTGAGTGCTTAACCTTTGTGCCACCTGGGCTCCTTATGTCTAGGTTAGAGATTGCTTTTTCCATCACACCTTTGAGTTTGATTTTCCTACCATATTCCCTCAGTGTCCTGTATATTTCACTTCTGTAGTGACATTTTTTAGATTACTTGTTTGCTTTTTCTGTCAGCAATGAGCTCCTTAAAAGTATCAGTTAATATTTTTTGACTGAATGGTATGTTTTCAAGTGCATTTTTTTATGGAAAATTAGGCTCTAGGACATGATAGATGTGATTTCACTCTTCCATTTCAAATGTAAACAACATTTTCATTGCTCTTTTTCCTTTCCTTTTCAGACAACTGATCAAGACTGGGTCCCATGTTTACATAATGAAACTGAGAAATTATTTCGTAAGGTAAAATACACAAATAATGTATTTTGTCAATGCATGTACTTAATTGAAACAATTCTTTTTAGAAAGACAAATGATGATATATAGATAAGGATTTATGTAACTTTTGTTTATGTGCTTAACTCTGTGATATGATTCAATTAATTGAGACTTCTGAAAATTATGTATGTTAAAGATTCTTCAAAGCAAAAGGACAGGAAAACATTTAATACACTTGATTTGTTTTCAGTTAGTCCGGTTGGATAATCTTTTTGCCTATTGGAATGTGCAGTCTCAGATGTTTTATCATAATGATTATGATGAATCACTGGTAAGTAATTTTTTTTATATGTTTATATACATATTTGTTTGTTTCATATTTCATATAAGGTTTTATTTATTGTCATTGAGCACACTGTAGACATTTTTCTTAGCAAAATCCATTATCACTATAGAAATTTGTGGATATATGCCTATACACAAATGTGTATGTATATATTACTTTTAATTAGATCTTAGAGCATTCTTTTATAATAGTAGTTTCTTTTTACCCTAACTTTTATTGTGGTGAAAACATAAACAAGACATTTGCCAACATAACAGCTTCCACATTTATAGCTCAGGGACATTGATGACATTTTTCATGTTATGCCACTATTGTATAATAGTAGTTTTATGAGATATTATTTAACCACTTTAATATTTTGCTTTAGCTAAATCCTCCTTAGTTTGAATTATTTATTTTTTAAATTGCTTTGAAACATTTTCATTGCATACATTAGGATTTTGTAAGACACAGGTCTATTGGCATGGATATAAATAAAAGCAATTTATCTTTTAATAGAATAGTTTGAAGAATGGCATTGTCAATAAAAATATCGTTCCAGAAGATTACAATTTTGGTGAGTACATTTCATAAACTAAAAGATGTAATAAAAATAATCAGCATAAATTTAAAATTTAAAATTGATGATGTCCCTATGATATTTGATGTTAAATTTTTTCTTATATAGTTAAATAATAAGGAGCTCTGGTGGCACAGTGCCTAAGGTCTTTGACTGCTAACCAGAAGACTCTCAATTTAAACCCACCATGCTCCCACCATGGAAGGAAGATGAGGCAATCTACTTCCATGAACATTCACTGCCTTGGGGTAAAGATTTACTGCGACCCAATGGGGCTTGCAATGAGTCAGACTCTACTCGATGGTAGTGGGTTGTGTTTTTTTTTTTTTTTGGTAGTTAAAGATATTTGTAACATATATGTAAAAGGGAAAAATAATTACCTTTTCTGCACCATTCATTGTCTGGGAGCTTTTGGCTGTATTTCAAAACTGTAGAAAAATGTTCAACAAAAGAGAATGTTAATAAATTGTGGTAAATCTAAGTATTATCTAGTAGCAATTAAGTTAACATTTATAAAGGCGTTTTGTCACAACAAATAAAATTTAATAAGGTTAGCCACTATAGTATGAAGTCTGATCTTACTATTTAAAAAATGTGCATTTGAAGTTTTTCTTTTTTATACTGTTGTTTTGGTTACCTAGCACCACTGTAACAGAAAACACCCAAAATGGATGGCTTTAGCAGACAGGAGTTTATTCTCTTACAGTTTTGAAGGCTACAAGTCCTCTTGCTCTTGTTCTGCCTCTTGTTCCTGGTCTACTGGAGCTAGAGGTGTCTCTTCACTCAGGCAGCTGCTGGCAGCTGAGGCTAACAAGCTAAAGGTCGACATAAAGTGGCACAGTCCCAATATTACCAAACAACATGGCAGGCCACTACATCAAGTCTGGAGATAGTCCCAAGTTTGCCAGGAAACATGGCAGGCTGTTAAACGAAGACTCAGTTACGTGCAGGGTTCAAGTATGCCAAAAAGCTGCTGAGAACTTTCTCAAAACTGCTTCTTCTATACTGAAAGCAGACCATATCCAGTTAAAGCTGTGGGAAGAGAAATTCGTTTTTTCCCCCAATACTGATATTATTGTTCTATATATGTATACATATAGACCCTAAAAGACCTAAGGCAGCTAGCTACTCAGCTGCTCCATTAGATTCCACCATGGAATTAACTACCGATCTCACCGTGGGAAATAACTGCATCCAGCTGCTCAGCTACTCAAAACCAGGCCCAGCCAGGTTGACACATAACCTTAACTATCTTAACTACCACAACTATTTTCTGTTTTCCAAATTTCCTAAAATGAGCCATGTATTACTTTTATAATTAGAAATGAGTAGCTAAAATTGTAGAAAAAAGGAGTGGTGTTTTTCTACTTGGAATATACTCAATAAATGTTGATTAGTCAGGGATAACTTAGTTCTTGAATTTGGCTGCCTGATGTCATTAACTATAGAATATCCTCCCTGAAAGTTACTTCTTTTCTTGGCTTCAGTAATGCTTCTCTTTCTGTATTCTGTGCTCAAAATCACTCTTAATTAATCTCCAGAAATGTCTCTTTTTCTTGTGCTTGCTCTTAAAATATTTTCATTGCTTTGAATTTGATTTTATTTTCTTGATTCTGTCTCATAGGAAACATTAAGAACTAATGAGATTATTTATCACGTGTGTGCTGATGCTTCACAGATTATTATGTTCGGTTTGACTTATATTAACTTTGCTTTACAATCATTTCTTGCTGTATCAATCAGGGTCTAATCAAGATAGAGAAACCACACAGTTGTTTGGATAGAGTAAGTTTAATATATAAAGAATTAATAACTGTCACAGAGGATTAGAGTAATGTGAAGAAAACTGTAAAGAATATAGAAATGGCAGTTAGATAGAACAGCCTCTACCCTAGGGTTGAGATGGAGGTCCCAAAGAAGAGGGAGAGAGGAGAGCCCTCATGAGATTCAGACCTTGGCCTGAACATGGCCATGGCTCACTAAATGGCAGAAAAGTCGCGGTGGTGCCAAGCCAGCAAAATTTGTTGAGCATTCGCCTTCTGGAACTTTCTGAATATGCTCTCTCTGAGGAGCTTTGTGGGAAGATGTTTCAGTGGAGTCACTCCTCTGCAAAACTACCTGAACAGGGTACTGGGGGAAGCTGTTGGCTGCTTCTGGCTGCCAACTGCCATGCACTGTAGGAGCTTGGTGCTAAAGAAGTCCTCCGTGCTGCAGGAGCCAGACACCAGAGAAGCTGCCTATTTTTTTTTAGGAGCTAGTGTTGGAGAAGCCATGCAACTGCAGGAGCCTTTTGAATGAACATTCTAGAACCAGGAAGCAAAACTCTTTCCTCCTACAGTGTTTCTACTAGCAAAGCTTAAACACATGCCAGCTGGTAAAAGAAGGATCATTTGTATATAGAAATCATCCAGAAATTATAGTTGCTAGCAGCTAAAATCTTAGAGAGGTAGGAAAAGGAGTAGCCTAGGAGAGGATAGATGATTATAACTAGAGAGGAGATACTGGTCATAAAATCAACTAAAGCATTATAAGGGTACTCAACTTGGTAAGTCTCTGGGATACTAAACTAGATGATTTAATTCCTTAATTTTCTGAGGTTGCTAGAGAATTTCTCTTAAGAGAGGATGTGGAGTCTTGTTGTTTGTTTTATATTCTTGGTGCTATAGTTATCCCTATAGTAGGTCCAGTGTAATTCTGTCACCAAGCCTTAGATTTATTTTCCCAGCTGCCTGAGTGGAGTACGGAATGCTGAAGAAAGAGTGAAATTTTTGAGCATTTATTTCTGTTCAAATAAAGTATGTTTTTGAATTCTTAATATGTGAAAAAAAAGTGCTTTGCCTTAGGTATGATTAAAACAAGATGAATATATACTGTCTTTGTATATAGAAATTAGCTTACAGTATTCCCTGTCTAGTTTTTGCTATCACTGATCTCTTTTCATGGTACCTATTCTTTTTGGTACTAAATACAAAGAGTTCATAGGAGCTTATCTTAGTTTTGGGTTGAGCCAAACAGCTAATCTTGGACAAACTCTTACTTGTCTTTTCTTTTCTGCTTTTTAAGAGTTAAAGGAGAACAGATGGATGCAGAAAAAACTGATCAGAAATTCAAAAATTGTAATTGTATAATGGAAGTCAGTGGTTGATTACAATCTTTTCCCCCCTTCAGGATTTTTAATGTATTTTCATTCCCTGGAACTGTATATTTTTAATAAAAAAATTTTTAGACTGTTTTGCCCAATTCTGCCTTTTTTGGGGTGACATGTAGTTCTCTTAGACTTTATTATACTTCAGCATGTAAAACAACATAAATTATAGGTCAGAAAGATACAAAAGCATAGTCACCAACTAATTAAGTGACACAGTACATCTGACCAAATCATGGCGGCGTGGACACCTAGGAACTGTAGAAAAGATAGAAAAGAAGAAGTATTTTTAACTTGATTCTTCTACTGCTTTGAGACTCTTGAAATATAACTCAATTTAATTTTTTTTCAATTTGTATTATTTTCCAGTATTCCGCCCCATATCTGCTAATGCCAAACTTCAGATGAATCGCCGATCAGATTTTGACTTTTCTGACCCCAAAATAAATCTGGAAGTTGAGTTACATGACATAGCCATTGAATTTAATAAACCACAGGTGATTTTTTAAATGAAATTTTAAATTATGAATTATAGTTTGACAAAAACAGAGCTAAGATTTTAAGTATTTTCTAAAAATTCATGTCATTATATGGTATTATTTCTGGTAGCATAGTGCCTAAAGGCACTTGACTGTTAACCAGGAGACTGGCGGTTCAAACCCACCAGCCACTCCTTGGAAGGAAGGTTGGGCAATCCTACTTCCGTAGTGATAACTCTCTCGGAAACCCAAGGAGGGGTCACTAGGAGTCGGGGTCGACTCGATGGCAAATAACAACAGCGACATCATTTCCTTTGTAACCTGTGAAAATATCAGTAACTTAACATTTGTCTTTGATAATTGGACAAATCTTTCTGAAATACTTACAAACTTTTACCTTTCCGATTCTTCAGTATTTCAGTCTTATGGAGCTTCTTGAATCAGTTGATATGATGACGCAAAATCTGCCATATAGGAAATTCAAACCTGATGTACCTCTTCACTACCATGCCAGGGAATGAAGTAAAAAAAAAAAAAAAAAAAGAAAATAATGAAAAAATAAGGGTTAAATTTTTAAAAAAAAATACAAAAAAGAAAACAAAAATGAATTTCTTGACTTATAAAATAATCTTTAAGATAGTCTTCTTATGGTGTAATGCAAACTGTTCTTTGCTTTGTGATTAGAAACACGTATGGCTGTTTTGCTTGTAATGTTAATGACATTGACTTAAGGAATCCTTTCTAATGGAATTTTATTTACTGTAGAGTTATCAGTGTTTTTGTAATTGTTTAAGGAAAAAAAAAAAGCTATACCTCAGTTTATTTTCTAGCAATGTCTTTTTTCCCCCTCTAAATCTCCATACCAAACACACTAAAATCTTTATTATTCAGATTATAGTTGTCTATGAAAGTACTATACCTTTTATAAATTCAAAAGTCGTGCCATTCCAGTTTTTAAGTTATGTTGGTTTCTAGAAACTCCAGTTACTTAAGTGTTTTCTGCCAATTACCGTATTAAAACTTATATAAAGTTATATTTAGCAAAGTTGAATGATACTTCTTACTTTTACTTGGGAAAGATTAATCATTAATGAATTGTTAATGTAACCAAGTTAGGAAAAACCAAGTTTTCAGGTAATAGATCATTTTCATAGTCTCTGTATTAAGGTTTCTGTATTATAGTTATGTTTTTTGTTGTGTAGAAGCAATATTAATTATTTCATGCTGTTGAGTTTTTGGTGTTAAGTGTTTTTTTTTTTTTTTTT